ATAGAGTCACAGCTAACCATTTAGCAGACTTTCCCAGATTTATGAGGCCTACTGTTTGTAGCCGAAGTAAATCAGGAAATGCTGGAGTAGAAATCCAAGCCTTAAAAAGTAGAGCATTGCTTCCTCCTAGAAAAGGAAAAAGATCCTCCCACTGTGCCAAGTCTGTGGCTTTTCCCATAGAAGGAACATCAGAATGTTATTCAGAGAGCAGTATTTCCAGAATTAGCTGCCTTGTCGGTCCAAATACGAAATTCAGTGCAGATAATGAGACAGAATTCAGCCATGACACATCTGATAGTGACATAAAGGTGGCAGTTTTTACAAAACAAGATTTACCAGAAAGAGATTCAAAGCATAAAAAGTTTAATCTGAGACCCAGCAGGGAGAACCATGCAAATACAACGGAAAGAGTATCGACCCAAAACCACTCAAAGGTTGATAATTGGCTTCAACTTCACAAGTATGCATCAAATACAAATAGGTGCACTCATAAGAACAAAAGAATTCTTGCGATACCAATTCCAGAGAAGAAAGCAAGGGCCAGAGGCAGGGTGGCACAGGATTTACATGATGAACAGGTCCCAGGTAAGGGTTTGAGAAAAAGAATCGTGAACCATCAAGATGCAAAATCAGCTGATATGGAGAATCATATGGATTTGAGCTCCGAGTTAGAAGCAGAAGCTAATGAGTCTCATGCAATTTCGAAGCACTTTATGAATTATGAGAAGTCATATCCTGCACCTCCAGCCTGCAATATTGATGAAATAACCATGAATGGAACACAAGGTCAAGTATTTGATTCAACAACTGAGGTCAGTGAATGCAGCAATTTTAGTGCACCTGACAATTTTAATGATCTTAAACTGACTATGCCAGACATTGCATATCAAGAAAGATATAATATGTCAGCATCTACAGTCAACAGCCTTAGCATAGGCCTGATAGAGAGTCCCTCTAGTTCAAAGAAGAAACCAAACTATGAACAAATTCTTAAAATGGAAGAAGAAAGTAACTTCGAGAAGATGCATGTCTCAGGATGCTTTACAGGAGGAATAAAGCCCTGCCACTATGGGCTCAGATCTCCTAGTGCTTTGTCCATTTGCAAAGCAAATCAAATAGATTATTACCTTGATCCCAAATTACTTAACAACACCAGAACCAGAGGTAAGACTTTGAGATCCCATCTTTACTTGTTCATCCAGTTAGTATGAGTCTTTTTGCAATAAACAAGAGGAGGAGACCATTGCCTTCTTGTGTTTTTATCTTCAGCGTAAACTAAGTTTATGTTCAGTCTTATGATTTTCTTCTTTGTTTTTCTTTTTGTCTTATGATTTTCTTAAATTGCATCTGCAACAGGGTTCGTTAACCTTTTGAAACCAAAAGTACAAATCTTATTTAGCAGCATTCTTGTCGCATTGGGTTTTGCAAGCCTAGGTCTTGGGCATGACTTCTTCTATGCTCTGGCTCTCTAATCAACCTGCTTATCACATGCCAAGACCTGATGCACGTGTGAGTTCGCCGTTCAAAAACTCTGTGATGTAGTTAATGAAGAGCCAGAGAGATGCCCATCGGCTGCTAGGCAACTTTGAGGCTACAGTAGTGCAACACTGGCACTCAGAGATTTCTCGGTTATAAAAAAGTAAGGGGGAAAAAAGAGATGCCCATTGGCGGGCTGGCGGCGAGGCAACTGTGAGGTTAGAATCTCATTCCCCAACTCAAACTGTTGATAATGCAGGAATTCAATATGGAAGGGAACAAGAAATAACATGTCTGTATGTGTGGTGGTTCTTTTAAGTGCCATCTCAATTCTCATGATTCTCCAAATCAGGGTGAAAGGTCAATATGTACATGTACCAAATATTTGATCCCAAGATGTTTAATAGTAAATTCAACTCTTTGGAACACCTAGATGTTGTCCAAGATGCACCTTACTAGTTTGTGTTAGTACTCTTAAGTATCAAATACACTAAAGAAAAGGAAAAGTCCAAGTTTTCCCCTCAACTATTGACTTTTTTTAAATTATATCATCTATTAGAAGTTGGCAACAAAAACCCCTTGCCGTTACCCAATACACCCCTATTCTGTAACATAGCTTTAGCTGTCCAGTTTGATCTATGCTGGAGCTGTATTATTGCCACGTGCGAGGACATGGAAAAATACATGTTGACCCATCAATGCTGTCTTACATGAAATTTCACCTTAAACTTGAATAAGCGTAGCCTGAGGTAGACAAAATCTTCTATTAACCCTTAATTATGCATTCAGAAACAAGCTAAGTGCATCCAACTAGCTAATCCAAACTAGAGCTTCACGAAACTAAGGTAAATTATTTTTTAATAAGTATGAAACTTAGGTACACTATAACATTGCAGAAGCAGTAATTAACATATATCAGCAGGTTGTGTGCATCCAAAAGAAAACGAAAAACTATAAGCAAAATTAACAAGAACTGAAGAGACATATCAAGGACTGCATCTGGTTTCTTCTAACTGATTCATCGAGAAGTGCCAATTACTTGTTCCTGACCATATCCAAAAACTGAAAAAGTTGAAAATGGGCAGCTTACAACCATTAAGCTTCCACCTCCACTTCAAGTAGTCAATCAGGTCTTGTGTGCTTCGCACAATTTTGGTGCTCGTGGACCGCAAACAGGTCGTGTTGGCATATGGAGCATCGACATTTTGAACCCATTCTCCAGTGAAGGTATCACTTGTCTCGGGCTCTCTAATCTTTATCGTCTGCTCCTCAGCATGGTATGTGGGTCATTTCAGATGGATGGGTTACTAAATCTGCAGAGTACCAATTAAAGGTGGTAAAGAGGGATAGGAGCAAAATGATTTAGTTTGATATTCTTGGGGTTCTTTGAGCTGTACTAGAGTATTTCCCAAAAGAAAGCTTTATTTATGGGAGATTCTTCAATGGAGGATTGTAAGCAAAAGCAGAGATGGGAGAAAATCCATTATTCACTCTCAAAAAGTGCTACAAGTTACTTTTCATTTCCTATTTTTCCATGTATCCACTGAACTGGCTCTTAAATTACGTGTATTATCCATGAATCAGCTGACGCCTGACATGGACAATGGTGAATCAATGAGGGCTTTGCTATGCGGGAGAAAAGGGGCAAATACAAAACGATAGGGTAACAGCGAGGGTATTTTTGTTGCCAACTTCTAATGGAGAGCAAAGTTAACTGTAAGTCGATATTTAGCAGCAAATTTGAACCTTTTCCAGTTTTCCAGAAAGAAAATGCAAGATCGTTTATAGATCATTTAAATCATAAAGTATAAATTCCACAGCAGTAATAGTATGGAAACAGAAAAGGGAGCTCCCATGGACAACAGCTTCACAGGATTTAGAGGGAAAATTCACTTTAAGAGCTCATAAAAGGCATCTAGCAGGACTTACTGCCACACTAAACAAAAAAATTCAACAACTAGCTGAAACATAATTCAAAAAAAAAAAAAAAAAAAAAAAAAAAAAAAAAGCTAATTTGTTATCCTTTAAGCATGATATATCATCTCTTGGTCAATCGGGTACCAGTCACCAACACAAGATTCAAAGTGGGGGTTGGAACCGAACAGGAAAATATATTGGTATTAATCACATCTGCATACAACAACAACAGCAACAACACCAAACCAAGTGTAATCCACATGTGGGATCTGGGGAGGTAGTGTGTGCGCAGACCTTACCCCTACCTTGAGAAGGTAGACAGGCAGTTTCCGATAGACCCCCGGCTCACGGAAAGATGAAAAAGGAAGCAGTAACAACAACAAGATAGTAAGAAAACCGAAGCGAAAGAAACATGTAGTAATAGAAATTTAAGAATAAGAAAATACAAGACTAACACTAATACTACTGGTATGGAAAAGAAAAATGCTCGACTACGTAGTAAGCTTCTACCCTAATTCTAGACCTCCTCACCCTCCTATCGAGGGTCATGTCCTCTGCAAGCTAAAGCAACGTCATGTCCTGCCTAATCACCTCTCCCCAATATATCTTTGGCCTACTTCTACCTCTCCTTTGACCCACCAAAGCTAACCTCTCACACCTCCTTACTGGGGTATCTGTGCTTCTCTTCTACACACGCCCAAACCATCTTAGTCTCGCTTCCCACATTTTGTCCTCCATGTGGGCCGCTCTCACCTTGTCCTGAATATCTTCATTTCTTATCTTATCTATCCTGGTATGCCCGCATTTGCATAATACATTCTTTACTATTTAATATAAAGTGCTAAGAAGATCTTAAATTGTGTTCTTTTAAAGTTCTACTTCACGTCTAGGTACACTTAAAGCTGCTATACATTGATCTATCTTCTGAAGCTAATGGTCCTTGAAACAGTCTATCTAGCTATACAAAATTCTACCCCTTGTTTTATAAGCTAAGTTGCTCGGACTCGGGTATGGTTGTCCGATACGAGTGGGTATCTAGAGATCGGACCATTATTTTTCTTTTTTGAAAAGGTAACATATTATATATAAATAAAAGACTATACAAAAGCTGTGAAGTCACCTATAATTACAAGGAGGCCTAAAAAGAAAAGACACTCCTAATCCTTTGTCTTCTCATAAGGATTCTAAAACATCAAAAATAGATTCATGATCTTCTAAATATTCTCCTTTACACCAAAAATAAGAAAGAACTAAACATTTCATTTTCATCTTTTGAATGTTACTGTATCTATCTTCAAAGCATCTTTGATTTCTTTTTTCTTGGATTGTCCACAAGATGCAAGCTGGGACAAACTTCTATCTATCGTTATGACTGGATAGGTTGCCTTCTCTGTTCCAACATGTTAAAACTTCAGGTATTCTTCTTGGCATAACCCACAATATTCTCCTCAAATTGATGAATATCCTCCATAATCTTTCACGGTCTAAATTTTAAGATTCGGGGATACGGATATGGGTAACGGGATTCGGCTAAAAATAATTCAAATATCTAAAAATAGAGTTATAAAAGTATGTCTAAATTATGAGATATTATGTGAAAAACTTACAAGGTATTCCGAGAAGCAGAAAACATTGATCAAGAGGAGAATCCGAGGAGGAGATTTACAAGGTATTCCAATTTCTTCAATTTCACCCTAGCTTTTGTTTTGATTTAAAAAATCATGGTATCTTTCCTGAATTTCTCCGTCGATTTTGGTCAAATTATCCAAAATCGGCTTATCAGATCCGAATACGGATCTCACACCCACACCCACACCGTGTCGAAATGGGTGCAGCACCAAAAGTGAAGAGTCCAAGCAACTTAGCTTACAAGTGATCCTCGTAAAGGTTATCAGCATCAAGCAGCTCTTCATATCCCCAATCCTCATTCAATACCGTCTTTGATACCTTATTCAACTGCGATAGAATTCTGTATATCCTCTCGCATTGAGAATGTGATCTGTCTCCTGAATAGAAGTAATAAACTCTGTTTTTCACCTTGATGAAGCTACCGCCTGGCAACTTTTTGACACCTGTGTCCCTCATGATCTTTCTTGCTACCCTAGCTTCACTCCACCTACCAAGAGCAGCATATGTATTGGACACAAGGGAATAATTCCCACTGTTACGTGGTTCCACTTCAGTTAGATGCTGCAGTGCTTGCTCCCCAAGTTCAACATGACTTTGCTTCTTGGCTGCAGCAAGAAGTGATCCCCAAATCACTGCATTTGCTTCAAAGGGCATCGTTTTAATCAGGTTTACAGCCTCGTCGAGGTAATCTGCACGCCCTAAAAGATCGACCATGCAACCATAGTGTCTGATGTCAGGACTAATACCATATTTTTCTTCCATTATCTTAAAATACAATCTGCCCTCCTCCACAAGACCTGCATGGCTACATGCAGATAGTACTGCTATTAAGGTGATACTGTTCGGCCTAATTCCAACCATTTCCATTCGAGAAAACATGTTAAGCGCTTCTCGTCCATACCCATTGACAGCCAATGCAGAAATCATTGTTGACCAAGAAACAACACTCCTTGTTTCCATGCTCTCAAACAATTTTACTCCCTTCTTCACATTCCCCGATTTTGCATACATATCAATAAGGGCATTGTTAAGAGGCACAGTTCTGCATAACCTGTGTTTTATAATATAACTATGGATCCATTCGCCCAACTCAAGCTCACCCAAGTGGGCACAAGCAGAAAGCACAGCTAGCATTGTTACCTCATCAGGCTTGACACCAACTTCTGCACTCATCATTTCACGGAAAACACCAATAGCTTGAGAAAATTGATTCACCTGAGCATACCCCGCAATTATGGTAGTCCAAGAAATAACATTCTTCTCCGGTATATTATCAAACAAGTACTTCGCAGTATCCATATCTCGAGCCCTAACATAAGCCGTTATAATGGCATTCCACAATCCCACATCTCTGTTTCACATTTCATCAAACACCTTACGAGCATCCGAGACGCACCCAAAAGAAGAATACATCCGTACAACCGCGCTTGCCACGTGTATGTCATTATTCAATCCGGTTATAATAGCCTCACAGTGAATTTGACTGCCGGTGCTAAGACAAGTTACAGCATTCAACACAAAAGGGATAGAGTAAGTATCATGATATAAGCCAATGGCTCGAGCTTGTTTATAAAGGAAAATTGCATCTTTTAATAAATATTGTTGTTTAGAGAAAACACTGATCATAGTGTTGTAAAGATAAATGTTTGGGTTGGGGTTCGAAGTGAAAACTGAACAAGCATAATTGACAAAGCCCAGGGAGGAACATGTATGTAGGAATTGGCTTAAAAGGAAGTTGTCTTGATCTAAAGCACGATGTAGCATGAATCCATGGGTTTGATAAATGTGATTTTTGTGCGAACATTTTTTGAGCAAAGCTAAAAATGAGTCTTCTATGTCGAATGGGGATTTTTGGAGAGGGAAGTTGTGGTAGTTGCAATGGAAGTTATTGGAGTTGGGTTTTAGCAGAGGGTGAAGAATTTTAGAGGATGCTCGGGAAAATGAGCACAGCATTGGCTTGTTTGGTTTAGCGCCTTCACTCCATTTCTTGCAATTTTGTGCCAAAGTTCAAATAATTAAAGCCACAAGCACACTCTTTATTGATGTGAGGGAAAAAAATGTCCCCTAAAAAGGGAAATTGTGACTTGTTTAAGTGCATGAATGGAGGTATCCCGACACGAAAAACTTTATTTTGTGTCTTACCCAATTAATACTGATTGTATGAGATCTTTTTTTTATATCACAACTTTATGGTTCCAAAATTTTATACAAGTCTCACACAATTAATATCAGTTATGTGAGGCACACCATAAAATCACTCTCCCGTCACTATTACGTGCGAAAAGACACTTCGAATGAGGGGACATTGATCTAAGTCAATGATAATTGCACTTAATTAGTTGACTTGGGGTTAGATTATAATATTAAAAACTTATGATAGATATTAAAATTTCTAAAATTGTCAAATACCCACTACTGTTTGGTAAAATAAAACTACAAACGTGGCTAGCTAGTATTTCTAAGTTGGATCTCTGATTATCTTTAGTCCTAGAAGGGGCGGATCTACATTGTGTCTTATGGGTGCTCGAGCACCCATTACTCTCGATTTGGAAGTTATCTATACCTATAGGTTACTCCGAAAAATAATATAAAAAGAAAGGTGAGCACCCATCAACGGAAAAGTCAAATGGCTCAGTTGGTCTTGGAAGTAGTTAACGGATGCTCGACCATAACGCCGGGGATTGAGACCTCTCAAAAGTTCTTATTTCCCAGCATATGGTTGTGTTTTCCTTTTCATTTTTCTTTATGAGCTTTTCATTTAACTTTTTTTCCCATTTTCTTTCGACTCTCTTTCGCACTTCCAAGCACCTCTTTCCAAAATGGCATTCTGTTTCCTTTGTCGATTTTTTTACTTCCCTAAAACAGACAAGCACCCTTTTCTCCTACAACACAATTAAACTCTTTCTTTCTCTTCTTTTAGATCTTTTTTTGAGTGAGCACCTGCGACACTAAATTCATGGATCTGCCACTGGTCCATAGAGATGAAGACCTGAGACATGGATATCATATCAGGAATGACGCAACATGCTCTGAATGAAGAAAAGCATGGAGTTGACATACTGAAAAACTTCAAGAATCCAGATAAATATTCACCTGACGATACTAGACTCCGAGATATGCAAGATTCGTTTATGATTGCACCAACCAGTTATGCCTTATATAAATGTAACAAGTAAGATTCACGTTAAATGCAGATAATGTCAGTAACGGCTAGGCGGAAAATTAGGAAAATGGTTATGCAATGATAAGAATATAACTAACCCTCATCCCTCATTTGTATAGGACCTGATTGAACATTGTATTACCCTTGTTGTACCAAAAAATTATTATTCTCATTCAGCTATGACAAGACACTAATCTACCAAGAATCATCAATAAGAAACTTTTCCTTTTTGTTTAATTGCTTTCATATTTCTTTTGTCTATATTGTTCATATATGCGATTATTAGATTCTTTTGTCTATCTGGTATTAATAAAGATCAACTCGGGTGAACTGAATCAATTGCATGAGGCCTTTTATATAAATTCAATTGTTTAAACTTTACAATCCAAATTTAGGTTAAACAAGAACTTCATTCAAATTTTTCATTTTCTTCTTCCTCATCCCCTCCTCCTCCTATTATTCTTTTTCCTTCTCTCCTTCTCGTTCGACTATTGTTGTTGATTCTTCGTCTTCTTCCTTCCCTCTCTTCCTTTTATTTTATTCGTCTTCCTCTTCCTTTCTACTTTTTCCTCTTTTTTCTTGTAGTTTGACAATGAGAAAAAAAGAGAAAAAAATAGTTGGAATTTGAAGAAGTGATATTTTACATTCATCCCGAGAGATGTTTGAAACATCTCTTGGGATGCTTGCAACATCTTCATAGATGTTGTTTTCTTAATTATTTTCTAGTTATTTGAATGAGCGGAAAAAAAACAATGGTGGGATTTGATGAAGTGAGAATTCTATAAACAACCCTAGAGATGTTTCGGGATGTTTGAAACATCTTTCAGGATGTTTATGCTTCAAACATCTATCAAAGAATGTTTCAAATATCTCCTAGATGATCCAAACATTTCAAAAATATTAGAAACATATTACACCCCATATTTTTCATACGTTAAGCTACATCGTGAGTTAGTCGTCGTAAGCTTGGATAGCTAGGCTATTCCTAAGTTTATTAGTAATTATGAATATGTTTATTAAGAGTCAAAAGGTTCAAAGGTAAAATGAATCGAAGCGAGTAAATTTCTGCGAAATTTCTAACTTATGGAGTGACTTACGAACTGTACATTGGAGGTACAGGTCAATGTTATAAAATGTACTTTTGGAGTAATACTAGGAGTGCTTAACATGCTAAGAAATTTGTGTTATGAAGTATTTGAATAGTTTAATAGTCGTATATTAAGTGTTAAATTCAAGTAAGTGGTAAAATAAAAGTCGGCAAAAGTTATAGCAAATTATTTCCATAAGTTTACTGAAATTTAGGTGTGGTGTCACTAAAATTTTCTCCCAATACACTTGGAGTTATAGAGTGGTCAATCTACCAAATTGAAGGTCTACGAGTCTAGTTTCTAATTTATTAAATCGTTTGTCAAATACGACTTCGGCATAGGGAAATATACACATTTTAGCCGGACTGCACAGGCAGCCCATTGGGACCAACATTGGCGGTAGAGATTATTTTTGATGTTATAAAGCGGGGAATCCCTTTCCCCACCTTATTTTTCATCCAAAACAAAACCTTAAGCTCCCTAAATGCTCCCAAAGCATCTCCCTATCATTCAAGCAAATACCACTAAGGTTTTGAGGTAATTTTTCCTTTAAAAAGATCGTAGTACTCATATAAGCTTGTTCTTTTCTTGTTGTAGTTGATTTTTAGATTCCTTCAAGTTGAAGTAAACTCAATTTAGGGGTTTTTCTTGTTGTGTAAGGTAAGAATATCCTTCTCCTACATGTATTTGAGCATATCTACGTCTTGTTTAAGTTGTTGAAGTAAGAACTTGCGGAATCGGCTATCGAAGTACATAGCTTGCTGTATATGCTGAACTATTTTGGAGTTGCTTATATGTTGTCTTATGGGTAGAAATGATGAATTTAAGACTTGAGCATAATTTATTTGTTGTTGCTATGTACCTTGAAAGAAAGAAGGGTTTAAGGTGTAGCTTAACTAGTTGTAACCCGAGCTTGTCACTCAGCATATCGTTTGTGTTGGTTGAAGAGCTAAATGTGTAGTTTTTGGTTGTTGTGATTGTTGTTGTTATTGGGAACATGATGATTGTAAAAGAAATATGGGAGATTCTGCCCAATTTGTTATATAATAAACTTGTTGTTCGATATATGATAGTTGTATCATTTGTAGCTTGACGATAGCGCCATTATCATTGATTGTAGATTGAGGTGTTGCTCAAGTTACGCTATTGAGTTGTTGAGAAATTGACGAAAGGTATGTAAATGCTATTTCTCTTTTTTAGATGGCATGAATCCATAGTTAAGTAAGTTCCAAACATAGTATACCCAAGAAAAGTCATTCTTAAAGATCCCATATTGTGTTATTCCATCTTTCTCATGACATAGCTAATCCTTGTTGGGAATTCCTATTTAGTTTAACATTGTTCCATGTCTAGTTGATGAATAGAGAGCATATATGTGTCATTTACTGTATTACTATACGCTTACGGAGCTAGACAGATGCGCGTCATGCCTTCGGAGCTAGATAGATGCCTTTGAGGCTATACATTTGCATATGGGGATATACAGTTGCCAACGGGGAAATACATCTACACACTGAGCCCTATATGAGGTCAGATAGTTCATTTTGGCATTACTTATATGATATCAATCAAACATAGGTAATTATGTTTTCAAATTATCATTGACTCCTTAGATTACATTCAATATATCATGTATATCAATTTAGTTTCTGTTTCAGTTATTCAGTTGCCTTACATGCTCGGTACATTATGTCATACTGACGCTCCTTTTGCGGGGGGTGCTGCATTTCATGCTTGCATGTCCTGATAGTCAGATGAGATAAGCCTTAGCAGTAGGCGAGCCTATATACAGCTTGATTGGTAAGCTCGGCATAATCCAAAGTTACTAGGTGTAGAGTTATTGTTGTATATTCAGACATTATGGGTAGGTCGAGGCCTTGTCCCAACCATAATACAATTGTATTTTGTAGAAGCTTGTAGGCATGTCCTGCATCTATAAATGTCAGCATGGTGGCCTTGTCGACCCATGTATATATTCTCTTTTGATTGTATAGGTTGACATTACTCATAGTGGTCTTGTCAGCTCATATATGTACATATTTATTTTAGGTTGCTTCCCGTTCAGTTGAGATTAGTTGTTCATTCCTCAGATTTTCATAAGTTATGGCCTTGTCGGCCTAAAATACAGAATCGTATTTAGTTGGCCTTGTCTTCCTAAGCAGTCATATATATTCACATAATATAAGTTTCACTTGGTACGCTCGGTTAAGTAAGACACCGGGTGCCGATCTCGCCTCCCCGAATTTAAGGTGTAACAAACTTGGTATCATAGTATTATCCTAGGGAGTCTACAAATCGTATCCAGTTGAGTCTTATTTATGTTGTGTTGTGCACCACATTCATAAAAAGGAAGCTACAAGATTTATGGAATGGTTACATTTCTTTCTTACTCGAGATTGTGTTATAGCCAAGCTATGAAAATTCGAGTTTAACGTATGCTTTCGATATATGTACAGAGATGTTTGTAACCAGGAAAGCTACAACTAGCCAAATGGCTAATGCAGAGGCAAGAGAGGGTGCCAGTATAGTACTACTCGATAATGCGGCCCAGTCTGAGGCACAAGGTGAGACACCCTCCCAGCCATCTTCGACTCCTTCCCACCTGAGAAGATCTCGAGAGTACAACAGCTCTGGTGCTTCATCTTATTCCATCTGATCAAGACATGATAAGTGTTATACACTTATTGATAGAGATAGTGATGACAACGCGAAAGTTGAGAGCACGGGCATGTGTTGGGCCCTCTGAGAGGCCAAAAAGTTTGAGGGTCAGAGAATTTATCGATTTGATCCTTCTGAGACAGAAGCACTAGAGTTGG